AACTACATTGACAGGTAAACCCCAAATCTGTAGAAAAAAAAAAATTGTTCCATAACTACTCAATCCTCTGTGACCATTACCATGGCTATAGTTGTAGTTATAGCAATTAAATTCAGCTTTATAGTATCAAGAAATCTTTATTCTATTTCTATTTCATCTATGTAGCTAAATGTTGTGGTCAGTTAGGAGCAAGCGGAGATAATCCAAGGGCTTAGCTTGTGGCTGAAGGGGCAAATCCTTGAGCTTGTGGTTCAGCCATGCACTGTGGACCAGAGGTTGCTGGCATTGCTTCTCCTTTCTGCACTTTCCAAATTGTATGTTTTATTATAGACATTGCATACTCCCCCTCAATTTTATATTGGTTACTCTGGGATGGCTAAATTTATGCTTTGGCAGGACTGAGAGGATGCGAGTTTAGACATAGCAAATGATGCAATTTATGCTGTGCATTTGGAAAGGGGGAGTATGTTTCCTGTTGATAGGAAAAATACTGGCATTCTGATAAATAGGCATTTTGAAATTCATTGCTAAGAGCCCCTTGTGTGTGCTTAGAAGGCAATGGGTAGGACATGGGAGAATTTGGTAGCTACTGAGCTATCCACAGAGCTGTGGTAACATGCTGCTTTCACCATTTCCCCATCACAACCAAGCAGATCACAGGGAGTGAAAGCCTGTCTTCTATTAAAGTACTCGAATAGGAAGATCAGAATCTGAAGATGCCAGACTGGAAGAGAAGGCTGTATTTCCTGGGTTTGAATCCCCTTCTCTGAGGCTCCATAGATCTGACCCTGCAATTGTCATTCAGTTCCGATGCTGCTGCCTCAGTATCTCACCTACATTCTTGGGTCAAGAGAGCTTCTTTCTTGTTTACTGTAGTTCAAATTTTCTTGCAGCTGTAGAGTTAAGAGTTCATATCCTTGGAGATTTGTCACTCTGCCTAATTACTGCTCTTGCTGCTGCTTACTGCATTCCTACTTACTGTCCTGTTATGTATCTATTACTTTCCAAAATTACCTTTTTATGACCAGTATCCTACATATTGCTCATTTCCTTCATTCTTACCTTGCACATTCCTAAAATGCAAAGTTCATGAGGTAAGAAGTTTCAATTGTTTTGTTAACTAGTTTCCCCAAGACCTGGAACAGAACCTTGTAATAGTTACTTCCTAATATCCACTGCCTCGTCCATTAACAGAGGTTTAAAGGCTAAAAAATGCAGAGGAAAAGGGCACCAGACAGGGAAGGTAGCTGCTTGTTTATTTGTCCTGATGCTCCTGGTTTTCCTGTTACCCCATAAACTGATCTTAGATATTTTCCCATCTTCACTTGCAAGCCCGATCTTTTCCTTCTCTATAGTAAATTCATTCCTGCATGTCTGTGGATACATTTTACCACCCAAATTTATGCTTTTGCTGACTTTCTGTCCTAAACACTAATCTCAGTGTAGACTCTGTGTCCGTCAGTGCTTGGAGCTGGTATGATGTGGTTAGTAAACATGCTACATTCTTTCTCTCTGCATGAGGAACCTACCTCACCACAAGGGCTGAGCTGTTTATAACCTACCTGAGAGATTTCCTCGAACAAGGGCCAGGATGGTGATTAAAGAATTCTGTTTTCTGAAATGCACTGTTTATTGGTAGGGAATTTTAAAAATAAGTTAGTTAACCTCAGTTGTACTGTAATACATCTCTTTAAGAGGTCAGCTGGGGTAAGAATTAGTTAAAAAAATGAAACTGTCGGGTCAAAATACCAAGTATAGAGAAGTTGCTGATTTTTTTTTTCTTCCAAGGCCACACAGGTGGTAATGATGAAGCCCGGCTGGGCGTCTGGTGCTCCCTTGAGTGTGACATGAGACTGGGGAGTTGAGCCTATTGAAGAGAAACCTGCCGGGGTGCTGGTAAACGGTGTCTAGGTCATTGACTCAGTTGGGATTACCCTTTCCTAGATTTCACTTCCGCCTTCTTGCTCGCTCGCAAATTTCATATCAGTAGTCAAACTTTGATATTGGAACTCCTTACGATCCTGTCAAATCTTTGACACAAAAGGAGAAAAAACATAATTTTGGATAATTTGCATTTTTTTATGTTAAGTATGGTGCAGTACATCATGAGTCTAATTACATTTATTTAGATTTATTCCTTTATTGGAAGGCAGATACAGAGAGAAGGAGAGACAGGGAGAAAGATCTTCCGTCCAATGATTCACTCCCCAAGTGACCGCGGGGGCTGGTGATGTGCCAATTTGAAGCCAGGAGCCAGGAGCTTTTCTGGTTCTTCCACACAGGTGTAGAGTCCCAAGGCTTTGGGTTGTCCTCGACTGCTTTCCCAGGCCACAAGCAGGGAGCTGGATGGGAAGTGGAGCTGCCAGGATTAGAACTGGTGTCCATATGGGATTCCAGCACATTCAAGGTGAGGACTTTAGCTACTAGGCCAGCGCGTAGGGCCCTGAGTCTAATGACATTTTAAGAATCTTAAGCCTATAATGGCTGTCTTGACGTGAATCATTCCAGGAGAGGCCACTGTCCTGAGCTGTGACACAGCATAAACAGTTTGAAAAGAGAAACATTTTCCTTCTGTATAGAACGTGATTGCAGTGAAATAAGCCCACCACAGCCATGAACACTTCACAGAAGTCTGAAAGCCTCCACTGTGCCCACTGCAGCAACATATTTTTTTTTAAGATTAATTTACTTTTATTGGAAAGTCAGATACAGAGAGGAGAGACAGATGAAGATCTTCTGTCCGATGATTCATTCCCCAAGTGACCTCAACGACTTGTGCTGTGCCGTTCCAAAGGCAGGAACTCTTCCAGGTCTCCCCTGTGGGTGCAGGGTCCCAAGGCCTTGGGCCATCTTCAACTGCTTTCCCAGGCCACAAACAGAGAGCTGGATGGAAAGCAGGGCTGCCAGGATTAGAACTGGTGCCCATATGGGATGCGAGCTCATTCAAGGCAAGACCTATAACTGCTAGGTCACCACGCGGGGCCCGCAGCACCATATTCTTAAGGAAAGCCTGGTAACAGTAGTGCAGGGACTTCTCAGAGTCTGTCCCTTTTCTATCACCAATGGGAAGGACAGGTTTTTCTCAGCTTTTAGTTTTAATTTTTTTTTTTTTTTTTTACATAATCTTACTTAGTTGATTAGGGTACAAAGGGTCAAGAGCTACAGGAAAGTGGGTAAGACCATCGTTTCCACACTAATATAATTTTTCCTGATTCTGGGATCAGAGGAGAAACAAAGGGAAAAGCCCCACCCAGGCTCCCACCCATCCTGGGTCCCTGATACGAGGCATGCTCCGAGGGTCCTGCTCAAGCAGTTTTGATAGTTCAACAGTTCTGAATTGCTGCCAATCTCGCCATTCCAATAGCGATGAAATCTATGCAGAATCCACTGGCTGACAGTCTCTTCATGGTTGGGGTTCTAAATCAGCAGTTCAGTTGGAGGGATCTCCAAAGAAACTTTGTCTGAAGTGATCCCAGACCTGATTCTTGTGTGTGCATGCCAGTACAGGGCCTGGCACAATCCATCGCCCCAATCAGCTTATGCACATGCTGGTGGTTGCAATTGCTGGGTCAGTTCTCTTTCCAGCCCTGTCTTCCACATGAACAAATGGGTGTTGCAGTCCAGCCCGATTCTGCTTACTTCATACTCAGCCCTCACGCAAACCAGTGGGAGCTGCAGCCTAGTTGAGGCAACTCCCCATTAGCCCCACCAGTCCAGCCCTCTCCCCTGGTTCCTATGCTTGCCAGTATGTGCCACAGATGTGTTCAGTCTGTCCCACATCCCATTTAGCTCTAGTAAATGTCAATGGGCATTGAAGCGTAATGGAACCCAACCTGCCCTATCATCCAGCCCACACCTATACTGGCAGGTGCTGTTCTGTCTAGCCACCCCTGCCCCAATCCTGGTTTTCATGCTCTCCAGTGGGAGTGGTTACCCATGAGTGAGGTGCCCACTATCTTCCTACTAGTCCACTCCAACTTCTCAATTATGCACTCTCCAGATAGTTCTGTGGTTTAACTTGACAGAATTAGCACCCAGTGCCAGCCTCTGCCAGCTGATGCTGCAGCAAAGCCCAACCAACCCTTACCCACTCTAATTTTTGCTTGTACCAGTTCTAACACTCGGTCCAATCTGGCCCTTCCCCAGTCTAGCTCACATGAGGCCCACAGGTGTTACAGCTGGTCTGGTCTGCCCCCATCCCAATTCATGCTCTCCAATGGGAGTGGTTGTCCAAACATTACAAATTAAGAAATTTTCTTGGAAAAAATAGTCTGCTCTGCTATTTGCCTGACTGCCAATACTAAGAACTTAGCCTAGGATTATAGTTTTGCTTGTAGTCTGCACGTAAAAGTAGTTTGTTTCTTAAAAGAATGTTCTTTTAAGGATGTGAATTTGGGGCACAGCACAGCAGCCTAGTGGCTAAAGTTCTTGCCTTGCACGTGCCAGGATCCCATATGGGCTAAGGTTCTAATCCCAGTGGCCCCCGCTTCCCATCTAGCTCCCTACTTGTGACCTGGGAAAGCAGGTGAGGACAGCCCAAAGCCTTGATATCCTGCACCCATGTGGGAGACCTGGAAGAGGCTCTGGGCTCCTGGCTTAGGATGGGTGCAGCTCTGGCCATTGTGGCCACTTGGGGAGTGAATCATTGGATGGAAGATCTTCTCTGTCTCTTTCCTCTCTGCATATCTGACTTTCCAACAAATAAATAAATCTTTAAAAAATACAAAAAATGGGTGTGAATTTAACTTTTGTATGTTTGTTTGTTTAATCTTTTAACACTCAATTAGATATTTGATCTAATTTACAAGATTAATTTTTTGTGGCAGGCCCTGCCTTTTCTTTCTTTTTTTTTTTCAAGTAAATTAATAAGGTATTGGGTGACCAATATGTTAGAAAATGCAAGTTCTTAACCACATCCTGTAACTACTTTCTTGACATCTCAATTTTAGTATATGCACAACTGGCTGCTATTCTAAAAGTTACATTGGGTATCTTAACAGGTTTATGTTCCTGATGCTTTAAATTCCTCTCGAGAGAGAGCTGGTGGAACTTCCAAGTCTTCTGAAGACATATCAGTAGATAATAATTCAGATAATAAAATGTTAAATGTAAAAAGAGCCACTGTTTCATGGGAAAATAATCTTGAAGATTTGGTAGAAGATGAAGATTTGGCTGAGGATCTAGAAGAAGGTGAAGAAACTCAAAATAAAGAAATGGAACTTAGTGATGAAGATTTGGATAGAACTGTGGAAGATAAGACTTTACTTAACTGCAAGGAGAACAAGGTAGGTATTAAAAACTTATTGATTGGGGCCTGGCAGCGTGGCCTAGTGGCTAAAGTCCTCACCTTGAATGCACCAGGATCCCATATGGGTGCCGGTTCTAATCCCGGCAGCTCCACTTCCAATCCAGCTCCCTGCTTGTGACCTGGGAAAACAGTTGAGCATGGCCCAAAGCTTTGGGATCCTGCACCCGCGTGGGATACCCGGAAGAAATTCCTGGCTTCTGGCTTCGGATCCGCATAGCATTGGCCATTGTGAATCATCAGATGGAAGATCTTCCTCTCTGTCTCTCCTCCTCTCTGTATATCTGACTTTCCAATTTGAAGTTCATTAGCAATTTTTATAAATAACTTTAAAAATGTTTTAATGGTATATATTTATTGGCATACAGAGTTAATAGTTCTTAAGGTTTCCTCTCCCATTTTTTCAATCATACGTTGACATTTTTTGTATCTCAAGTTTATGTTTTGAAAAATTTTAAGCCTATAAAAATGCTAGTATAATGAGTAGTTGGGTCCCCAATTGTTGTCATATTATAAATATGTAAGTAAAGATTCTTTTGCTTGTAGGTAAAAACCTATACAAAATTATACCTTAAAACTAACTATGATGGTATTTATTTTCTAAGAATGAGAAATTTTCCTCATAATTTCCATGACTGTTCTTTCACCTAAGAAGCCTAATATTGATGTAACAAAGCTATCTGTTAGGCCACCCATCCTGAGATTTCTCTGGTGGTATTAATATAGCTTGAATAACCATTTAATTTCTGTTTACAAAAAAACATTGATTTTAGCATCACGTTTGTGTAGTCATTTTTAATCTAGCGTTGATATCTTTTAGAAGTAGAGGCTATCCCTACTAATGAAATTCACAGTGTTGGGTTTAAGTGGAATAGTAGTTCCTGGTGGATAATACATGAGGCAAATTTACTTTTTTCTTAGTTCAGCTGAGCATTGAGATGTTTGAGTTTGTTTTTCATGTAGGTCTTCCTATGAGGTGGAGAGATTACAAAGTAATGAATCTGCAAATGCCAAAAATTTAGTGAGAATGCAATTTTTAAAAAGGATACGTAATTGTGGTTGATTAGATAAAAATTATTTTTGAAATAGTTGGACAGTATTTGGGTTATGTTTATCCTTTTATAAGAATTCTAATATTTAAATATTTTAGAAACTATTGAATTTAATAGAAGAACTGAAAAAAAAACTGATAAATGAAAAAAAAGAGAAGTTAACATTGGAACTTAAAATTCGAGAAGAAGTTACACAGGAATTTACTCAATATTTGGCTGAACGTGAGGCTGACTTTAAGTAAGTTGTTTCTTTGATGATTTAGTAAAAACTGAGAATTTCATTGCCTTGTTTCCTTTTCTTGCTTTCTGAGTTCTCATTTCTTTTCAGTAGTTTGAAAATAGCTTTTACTAATCGTCTTACATGAAGTTTGTTTTAATCTGTACTAGCCCTTGGCAGTGTAGCATTCTGTTCTGTTTTTTAAATGGAACTAATTTGTGTAATGCAGAGAAGCAATCCTTCAGGAACGAGAGATGTCAGAAGAAAATGCTGAATGCCGTTTGGCGATCTTCAAGGAATTGGTTGGTGTATGTGACATTCAGGAAGAACCAAGCAATAGAGTTTGTGCTGTGAAAGTTGAAACTGAGGTATTGTATCTCAAATGCTAGATTTCCAGGGAGAGTTTGATAGCAGGATATAATATGTGGTGGCATTATTGATGAGAAACATTAGTTTAGAATTAACGCAAAATAACTCTTTTTTTTTTATTATACTTATATCTGTTTTGTTAGGAATGTTAATGCAAATTGTTTTGATATTGCTTGAGTCATTATATGGACTGACAAAGAGGTTCAGTGTTTTTAATTATAAGAAACCTTCCCCAGCTTAGTCTTAAACTTCCAGTTTTTAAATTAGACTATCTAAAGATATAAGGAACTCTAAAAGGAGTAATTTACTTACTGTTTTGATTACCACAAAAATATTTGTTCTTACTGAATAATTACAGCTTCCTAGTTTTAAGGAAAATTTATCCTTTTCTGCTGTTTCCTCAGAAAACTGACTAGGTTTTCTTGGGTTTTCTAGGTTTTTTTGTTGTTGTTGTCACTTTTTAAATAGTTACGTTAATTTCAAAGTCAGAATTAGAGAGAAAGAAGGAACTATCTCCCATCTGCTGGTTCACTTCCCAAATGCCTCCAACAGCCAGAGGGTGTGCCAGGCTAAACCAGTCCCCTGGAACAGCATCTGGGTCTCCCAGATGGGTGGCAGGAGGTGGCCCAAGTGCTTTGGCCATCTTGCTTTGACTGCTTTGTGGAGTGCATTGGAGGGAGCTGCACTGGAAGCAGAGCAGCCAGGACTCAAGCAGGCCCCGATAGTGTGGAAATCCAGTGTTGGAAGCAGTGGCTTAACGTGGTGCACAGGGCCGCCTGCACCACTTGCTTGCTTTGTCGTCACTCAGTTCAGGGACCTGTGACAGTGATGTCTAGACTCTTGCTGTCATTTCACCATTCTGTGTCACTGCTATGATTTGGAATTGAACTGAGTTGTTTAAATGAAGATTAGTTTTCTTGGCTATTCTAACATAGTCTTTTAAGTATCGTTATTTATTTGAGATGATACCTAACTAACTTACCATAATTGTATAATTTTCACTGTTTCGGACATTTTCCCTGTGACATTTTAATGAGGAAAAATGATTCTGTTCCTTAAAAAATCAGTAGTAGAATGAAATTTTTTTTTTCCATTGGGGGCTTCTATATGATTTGCCTAAAAGGCTATCATAAGTTTTTGGCTGTTTCTAAAGCTCTGTGTATTATGTGGTAACACGTCAGGGTGAAACCCAGGGTTAACATTAGGCATGTGGTTTTTGCTGTTTTTAGGAAGCACATAATTATGTAGGATTTGAAGATATTATTGACTCTCTTCAAGATGATGTCACTGATATTAAGAAACAGGCTGAAATTGCTCACTTATGCATTGCATCTCTTGCTGATCCCCAGGAAGCCATTGCTTGTTTACAACTAAAGTTAAGTCAAGTTAAAACTGAATTAGATAAAACTAAAGAAGAATTAATCAAAACCAAAGAAGAGTTAAAAAAGAGAGATAATGGTAAGTAGATGTATTTTACTCCTTTGTAGATATTATAAACATATAAAATCTGATAAATATAAGAGAATTACACAACTTATTTATTACAGTGACCAGGAAATTCCTTAACCTAGGGTAGTAAGTTTTAGTATGTAATCATTTATATGAATTTATACAAATTTGCTACAAGAAATATATTTGACCATCACGTATTTCACTAGTTTTTGGGAAATAGTTAGTTTTAAAGGCAGAAAGCACTCCCATCTATTAGTTTACTCCCTAAATGCACACAACAGCCATAGGAAGGCTTGGTCTGTGGCTGCGTATTGGCATTCAATCCAAATTTCCATTAGGTGACAGGAACGTAATGGGCCTGTCTACAGCTCCCTCCCAGAATCTGCATGACTAGGAACCTTGAATCAGTCCCAGGTTCTCCCATGTGATAGAAAGGTTTCTGCCATCTTAACCTATAGGTCAAGGACTTTTCAAGAGAAAGTATTAGCTTTTTCCGTAAATGAAGAAATTATTCTTCCATATTCTTTATGCATTCTAGTGTAGGAGATTATGCTCTTGGCTTACAAGTTTGAAATAGACTAACTCCTATGGGGTGGCTTAACCTAGATTGCAGGTTCGTTCTGTCTTTGAGGATATCTTACATTTGTAGGAGGGTACTTCAAAATTTTAACGGAAAAAGGAAAAGAGAAAGTCTGTATTGAAGTAAAAGTTTTTGAAATACAGATAGTTTTTTTCATAATACTCATTTTCCATTAGTGGTTTTGAAGTATCTTTCTGTATGATTAGTTGCAACATTTGGAGTTGGAGAAAATTGGATAAAATCATCTTCCCTTTTCTGTGTAATACTAGATGGGTAGAGAAACAGCCGGTAAGTGATGCTTCTGCCTTTGGAGTGGACCAGGAAAGCCCTGACTCTGTCTCTTCTCTGGTGTCATGCCAGTTCTCTACTACTTAACGTGTCACTCATTTTTATCCTGGGTTTTGAAAGTATCATTTTTCTGAAACATTATTCTCTTGTAAGACGAATGCTGTGCCTTTGTAATGCTGTCAAAATTCTTTTTCCTGAATGTAATGCTGATAAAAGTGTCCACTATAGAAACTTGTGTTTCATGAGTTTAGTCATCGTTTCTTAGATATGAACTTATTTTCAAAATTCTTTGTTTTTTCAGAATCAGATTTATTAGTCCAAGGGCTGAAGAAATCTAGTAAGGTAATACTTTAAGCTTTTTTATTTCTTTGTTTTGATGAGGAGTAGAAGAGTACAGTTTATTACTACAAATGTTTATTTTAAAACCAATTACAGAAAAAGTAATGAAGACGGTAATGACAAAATTGAGAAGTCTAAGTGCCTTCACCTTTATACTGCTTTTCAGTGATGGTCATTGGGAAGATTCTATAAGCCTTATGGGAAATTTGCGGACATATATAGAAGGATACATATGTCTTAAAAAGTTTGCATAAGTAGAGTGATTTTCTGCTTTGCTTTCTTCCTCTCTAAATTATGTCTTGCAAATTATTCTAAAGCAATACCTACAGATATGTATCCTTCCTTTACTGAATTCATTAAAACCAACAATAAAAAGGGAGTCCAGTGTTGTATTACCACCGGCTAAGTCTCCCTGCATTGCTGGTATCTTATGTAGGAGCCAGTTTACGTCAGTTTACGTAGGAGCAGTTCAGTTGGAGGGATCTCCAAAGAAACTTTGTCTGAAGTGATCCCAGATCTGATTCTTGTGTGTGCATGCCAGTACAGGGCCTGGCACAATCCATCGCCCCAATCAGCTTATGCACATGCTGGTGGTTGCAATTGCTGGGTCAGTTCTCTTTCCAGCCCTGTCTTCCACATGAACAAATGGGTGTTGCAGTCCAGCCCGATTCTGCTTACTTCATACTCAGCCCTCACGCAAGCCAGTGGGAGCTGCAGCCTGGTTGAGGCAACTCCCCATTAGCCCCACCAGTCCAGCCCTCTCCCCTGGTTCCTATGCTTGCCAGTATGTGCCACAGATGTGTTCAGTCTGTCCCACATCCCATTTAGCTCTAGTAAATGTCAATGGGCATTGAAGCGTAATGGAACCCAACCTGCCCTATCATCCAGCCCACACCTATACTGGCAGGTGCTGTTCTGTCTAGCCACCCCTGCCCCAATCCTGGTTTTCATGCTCTCCAGTGGGAGTGGTTACCCACGAGTGAGGTGCCCACTATCTTCCTACTAGTCCACTCCAACTTCTCAATTATGCACTCTCCAGATAGTTCTGTGGTTTAACTTGACAGAATTAGCACCCAGTGCCAGCCTCTGCCAGCTGATGCTGCAGCAAAGCCCAACCAACCCTTACCCACTCTAATTTTTGCTTGTACCAGTTCTAACACTCGGTCCAATCTGGCCCTTCCCCAGTCTAGCTCACATGAGGCCCACAGGTGTTACAGCTGGTCTGGTCTGCCCCCATCCCAATTCATGCTCTCCAATGGGAGTGGTTGTCCAAACATTACAAATTAAGAAATTTTCTTGGAAAAAATAGTCTGCTCTGCTATTTGCCTGACTGCCAATACTAAGAACTTAGCCTAGGATTATAGTTTTGCTTGTAGTCTGCACGTAAAAGTAGTTTGTTTCTTAAAAGAATGTTCTTTTAAGGATGTGAATTTGGGGCACAACACAGCAGCCTAGTGGCTAAAGTTCTTGCCTTGCACGTGCCAGGATCCCATATGGGCTAAGGTTCTAATCCCAGTGGCCCCCGCTTCCCATCTAGCTCCCTACTTGTGACCTGGGAAAGCAGGTGAGGACAGCCCAAAGCCTTGATATCCTGCACCCATGTGGGAGACCTGGAAGAGGCTCTGGGCTCCTGGCTTAGGATGGGTGCAGCTCTGGCCATTGTGGCCACTTGGGGAGTGAATCATTGGACGGAAGATCTTCTCTGTCTCTTTCCTCTCTGTATATCTGACTTTCCAACAAATAAATAAATCTTTAAAAAATACAAAAAAAGGGTATGAATTTAACTTTTGTATGTTTGTTTGTTTAATCTTTTAACACTCAATTAGATATTTGATCTAATTTACAAGATTAATTTTTTGTGGCAGGCCCTGCCTTTTCTTTCTTTTTTTTTTTCAAGTAAATTAATAAGGTATTGAGTGACCAATATGTTAGAAAATGCAAGTTCTTAACCACATCCTGTAACTACTTTCTTGACATCTCAATTTTAGTATATGCACAACTGGCTGCTATTCTAAAAGTTACATTGGGTATCTTAACAGGTTTATGTTCCTGATGCTTTAAATTCCTCTCGAGAGAGAGCTGGTGGAACTTCCAAGTCTTCTGAAGACATATCAGTAGATAATAATTCAGATAATAAAATGTTAAATGTAAAAAGAGCCACTGTTTCATGGGAAAATAATCTTGAAGATTTGGTAGAAGATGAAGAATTGGCTGAGGATCTAGAAGAAGGTGAAGAAACTCAAAATAAAGAAATGGAACTTAGTGATGAAGATTTGGATAGAACTGTGGAAGATAAGACTTTACTTAACTGCAAGGAGAACAAGGTAGGTATTAAAAACTTATTGATTGGGGCCTGGCAGCGTGGCCTAGTGGCTAAAGTCCTCACCTTGAATGCACCAGGATCCCATATGGGTGCCGGTTCTAATCCCGGCAGCTCCACTTCCCATCCAGCTCCCTGCTTGTGACCTGGGAAAACAGTTGAGCATGGCCCAAAGCTTTGGGATCCTGCACCCGCGTGGGATACCCGGAAGAAATTCCTGGCTTCTGGCTTCGGATCCGCATAGCATTGGCCATTGTGAATCATCAGATGGAAGATCTTCCTCTCTGTCTCTCCTCCTCTCTGTATATCTGACTTTCCAATTTGAAGTTCATTAGCAATTTTTATAAATAACTTTAAAAATGTTTTAATGGTATATATTTATTGGCATACAGAGTTAATAGTTCTTAAGGTTTCCTCTCCCATTTTTTCAATCATACGTTGACATTTTTTGTATCTCAAGTTTATGTTTTGAAAAATTTTAAGCCTATAAAAATGCTAGTATAATGAGTAGTTGGGTCCCCAATTGTTGTCATATTATAAATATGTAAGTAAAGATTCTTTTGCTTGTAGGTAAAAACCTATACAAAATTATACCTTAAAACTAACTATGATGGTATTTATTTTCTAAGAATGAGAAATTTTCCTCATAATTTCCATGACTGTTCTTTCACCTAAGAAGCCTAATATTGATGTAACAAAGCTATCTGTTAGGCCACCCATCCTGAGATTTCTCTGGTGGTATTAATATAGCTTGAATAACCATTTAATTTCTGTTTACAAAAAAACATTGATTTTAGCATCACGTTTGTGTAGTCATTTTTAATCTAGCGTTGATATCTTTTAGAAGTAGAGGCTATCCCTACTAATGAAATTCACAGTGTTGGGTTTAAGTGGAATAGTAGTTCCTGGTGGATAATACATGAGGCAAATTTACTTTTTTCTTAGTTCAGCTGAGCATTGAGATGTTTGAGTTTGTTTTTCATGTAGGTCTTCCTATGAGGTGGAGAGATTACAAAGTAATGAATCTGCAAATGCCAAAAATTTAGTGAGAATGCAATTTTTAAAAAGGATACGTAATTGTGGTTGATTAGATAAAAATTATTTTTGAAATAGTTGGACAGTATTTGGGTTATGTTTATCCTTTTATAAGAATTCTAATATTTAAATATTTTAGAAACTATTGAATTTAATAGAAGAACTGAAAAAAAAACTGATAAATGAAAAAAAAGAGAAGTTAACATTGGAACTTAAAATTCGAGAAGAAGTTACACAGGAATTTACTCAATATTTGGCTGAACGTGAGGCTGACTTTAAGTAAGTTGTTTCTTTGATGATTTAGTAAAAACTGAGAATTTCATTGCCTTGTTTCCTTTTCTTGCTTTCTGAGTTCTCATTTCTTTTCAGTAGTTTGAAAATAGCTTTTACTAATCGTCTTACATGAAGTTTGTTTTAATCTGTACTAGCCCTTGGCAGTGTAGCATTCTGTTCTGTTTTTTAAATGGAACTAATTTGTGTAATGCAGAGAAGCAATCCTTCAGGAACGAGAGATGTCAGAAGAAAATGCTGAATGCCGTTTGGCGATCTTCAAGGAATTGGTTGGTGTATGTGACATTCAGGAAGAACCAAGCAATAGAGTTTGTGCTGTGAAAGTTGAAACTGAGGTATTGTATCTCAAATGCTAGATTTCCAGGGAGAGTTTGATAGCAGGATATAATATGTGGTGGCATTATTGATGAGAAACATTAGTTTAGAATTAACGCAAAATAACTCTTTTTTTTTTATTATACTTATATCTGTTTTGTTAGGAATGTTAATGCAAATTGTTTTGATATTGCTTGAGTCATTATATGGACTGACAAAGAGGTTCAGTGTTTTTAATTATAAGAAACCTTCCCCAGCTTAGTCTTAAACTTCCAGTTTTTAAATTAGACTATCTAAAGATATAAGGAACTCTAAAAGGAGTAATTTACTTACTGTTTTGATTACCACAAAAATATTTGTTCTTACTGAATAATTACAGCTTCCTAGTTTTAAGGAAAATTTATCCTTTTCTGCTGTTTCCTCAGAAAACTGACTAGGTTTTCTTGGGTTTTCTAGGTTTTTTTGTTGTTGTTGTCACTTTTTAAATAGTTACGTTAATTTCAAAGTCAGAATTAGAGAGAAAGAAGGAACTATCTCCCATCTGCTGGTTCACTTCCCAAATGCCTCCAACAGCCAGAGGGTGTGCCAGGCTAAACCAGTCCCCTGGAACAGCATCTGGGTCTCCCAGATGGGTGGCAGGAGGTGGCCCAAGTGCTTTGGCCATCTTGCTTTGACTGCTTTGTGGAGTGCATTGGAGGGAGCTGCACTGGAAGCAGAGCAGCCAGGACTCAAGCAGGCCCCGATAGTGTGGAAATCCAGTGTTGGAAGCAGTGGCTTAACGTGGTGCACAGGGCCGCCTGCACCACTTGCTTGCTTTGTCGTCACTCAGTTCAGGGACCTGTGACAGTGATGTCTAGACTCTTGCTGTCATTTCACCATTCTGTGTCACTGCTATGATTTGGAATTGAACTGAGTTGTTTAAATGAAGATTAGTTTTCTTGGCTATTCTAACATAGTCTTTTAAGTATCGTTATTTATTTGAGATGATACCTAACTAACTTACCATAATTGTATAATTTTCACTGTTTCGGACATTTTCCCTGTGACATTTTAATGAGGAAAAATGATTCTGTTCCTTAAAAAATCAGTAGTAGAATGAAATTTTTTTTTTCCATTGGGGGCTTCTATATGATTTGCCTAAAAGGCTATCATAAGTTTTTGGCTGTTTCTAAAGCTCTGTGTATTATGTGGTAACACGTCAGGGTGAAACCCAGGGTTAACATTAGGCATGTGGTTTTTGCTGTTTTTAGGAAGCACATAATTATGTAGGATTTGAAGATATTATTGACTCTCTTCAAGATGATGTCACTGATATTAAGAAACAGGCTGAAATTGCTCACTTATGCATTGCATCTCTTGCTGATCCCCAGGAAGCCATTGCTTGTTTACAACTAAAGTTAAGTCAAGTTAAAACTGAATTAGATAAAACTAAAGAAGAATTAATCAAAACCAAAGAAGAGTTAAAAAAGAGAGATAATGGTAAGTAGATGTATTTTACTCCTTTGTAGATATTATAAACATATAAAATCTGATAAATATAAGAGAATTACACAACTTATTTATTACAGTGACCAGGAAATTCCTTAACCTAGGGTAGTAAGTTTTAGTATGTAATCATTTATATGAATTTATACAAATTTGCTACAAGAAATATATTTGACCATCACGTATTTCACTAGTTTTTGGGAAATAGTTAGTTTTAAAGGCAGAAAGCACTCCCATCTATTAGTTTACTCCCTAAATGCACACAACAGCCATAGGAAGGCTTGGTCTGTGGCTGCGTATTGGCATTCAATCCAAATTTCCATTAGGTGACAGGAACGTAATGGGCCTGTCTACAGCTCCCTCCCAGAATCTGCATGACTAGGAACCTTGAATCAGTCCCAGGTTCTCCCATGTGATAGAAAGGTTTCTGCCATCTTAACCTATAGGTCAAGGACTTTTCAAGAGAAAGTATTAGCTTTTTCCGTAAATGAAGAAATTATTCTTCCATATTCTTTATGCATTCTAGTGTAGGAGATTATGCTCTTGGCTTACAAGTTTGAAATAGACTAACTCCTATGGGGTGGCTTAACCTAGATTGCAGGTTCGTTCTGTCTTTGAGGATATCTTACATTTGTAGGAGGGTACTTCAAAATTTTAACGGAAAAAGGAAAAGAGAAAGTCTGTATTGAAGTAAAAGTTTTTGAAATACAGATAGTTTTTTTCATAATACTCATTTTCCATTAGTGGTTTTGAAGTATCTTTCTGTATGATTAGTTGCAACATTTGGAGTTGGAGAAAATTGGATAAAATCATCTTCCCTTTTCTGTGTAATACTAGATGGGTAGAGAAACAGCCGGTAAGTGATGCTTCTGCCTTTGGAGTGGACCAGGAAAGCCCTGACTCTGTCTCTTCTCTGGTGTCATGCCAGTTCTCTACTACTTAACGTGTCACTCATTTTTATCCTGGGTTTTGAAAGTATCATTTTTCTGAAACATTATTCTCTTGTAAGACGAATGCTGTGCCTTTGTAATGCTGTCAAAATTCTTTTTCCTGAATGTAATGCTGATAAAAGTGTCCACTATAGAAACTTGTGTTTCATGAGTTTAGTCATCGTTTCTTAGATATGAACTTATTTTCAAAATTCTTTGTTTTTTCAGAATCAGATTTATTAGTCCAAGGGCTGAAGAAATCTAGTAAGGTAATACTTTAAGCTTTTTTATTTCTTTGTTTTGATGAGGAGTAGAAGAGTACAGTTTATTACTACAAATGTTTATTTTAAAACCAATTACAGAAAAAGTAATGAAGACGGTAATGACAAAATTGAGAAGTCTAAGTGCCTTCACCTTTATACTGCTTTTCAGTGATGGTCATTGGGAAGATTCTATAAGCCTTATGGGAAATTTGCGGACATATATAGAAGGATACATATGTCTTAAAAAGTTTGCATAAGTAGAGTGATTTTCTGCTTTGCTTTCTTCCTCTCTAAATTATGTCTTGCAAATTATTCTAAAGCAATACCTACAGATATGTATCCTTCCTTTACTGAATTCATTAAAACCAACAATAAAAAGGGAGTCCAGTGTTGTATTACCACCGGCTAAGTCTCCCTGCATTGCTGGTATCTTATGTAGGAGCCAGTTTACGTCAGTTTACGTAGGAGCAGTTCAGTTGGAGGGATCTCCAAAGAAACTTTGTCTGAAGTGATCCCAGATCTGATTCTTGTGTGTGCATGCCAGTACAGGGCCTGGCACAATCCATCGCCCCAATCAGCTTATGCACATGCTGGTGGTTGCAATTGCTGGGTCAGTTCTCTTTCCAGCCCTGTCTTCCACATGAACAAATGGGTGTTGCAGTCCAGCCCGATTCTGCTTACTTCATACTCAGCCCTCACGCAAGCCAGTGGGAGCTGCAGCCTGGTTGAGGCAACTCCCCATTAGCCCCACCAGTCCAGCCCTCTCCCCTGGTTCCTATGCTTGCCAGTATGTGCCACAGATGTGTTCAGTCTGTCCCACATCCCATTTAGCTCTAGTAAATGTCAATGGGCATTGAAGCGTAATGGAACCCAACCTGCCCTATCATCCAGCCCACACCTATACTGGCAGGTGCTGTTCTGTCTAGCCACCCCTGCCCCAATCCTGGTTTTCATGCTCTCCAGTGGGAGTGGTTACCCACGAGTGAGGTGCCCACTATCTTCCTACTAGTCCACTCCAACTTCTCAATTATGCACTCTCCAGATAGTTCTGTGGTTTAACTTGACAGAATTAGCACCCAGTGCCAGCCTCTGCCAGCTGATGCTGCAGCAAAGCCCAACCAACCCTTACCCACTCTAATTTTTGCTTGTACCAGTTCTAACACTCGGTCCAATCTGGCCCTTCCCCAGTCTAGCTCACATGAGGCCCACAGGTGTTACAGCTGGTCTGGTCTGCCCCCATCCCAATTCATGCTCTCCAATGGGAGTGGTTGTCCAAACATTACAAATTAAGAAATTTTCTTGGAAAAAATAGTCTGCTCTGCTATTTGCCTGACTGCCAATACTAAGAACTTAGCCTAGGATTATAGTTTTGCTTGTAGTCTGCACGTAAAAGTAGTTTGTTTCTTAAAAGAATGTTCTTTTAAGGATGTGAATTTGGGGCACAACACAGCAGCCTAGTGGCTAAAGTTCTTGCCTTGCACGTGCCAGGATCCCATATGGGCTAAGGTTCTAATCCCAGTGGCCCCCGCTTCCCATCTAGCTCCCTACTTGTGACCTGGGAAAGCAGGTGAGGACAGCCCAAAGCCTTGATATCCTGCACCCATGTGGGAGACCTGGAAGAGGCTCTGGGCTCCTGGCTTAGGATGGGTGCAGCTCTGGCCATTGTGGCCACTTGGGGAGTGAATCATTGGACGGAAGATCTTCTCTGTCTCTTTCCTCTCTGTATATCTGACTTTCCAACAAATAAATAAATCTTTAAAAAATACAAAAAAAGGGTATGAATTTAACTTTTGTATGTTTGTTTGTTTAATCTTTTAACACTCAATTAGATATTTGATCTAATTTACAAGATTAATTTTTTGTGGCAGGCCCTGCCTTTTCTTTCTTTTTTTTTTTCAAGTAAATTAATAAGGTATTGAGTGACCAATATGTTAGAAAATGCAAGTTCTTAACCACATCCTGTAACTACTTTCTTGACATCTCAATTTTAGTATATGCACAACTGGCTGCTATTCTAAAAGTTACATTGGGTATCTTAACAGGTTTATGTTCCTGATGCTTTAAATTCCTCTCGAGAGAGAGCTGGTGGAACTTCCAAGTCTTCTGAAGACATATCAGTAGATAATAATTCAGATAATAAAATGTTAAATGTAAAAAGAGCCACTGTTTCATGGGAAAATAATCTTGAAGATTTGGTAGAAGATGAAGAATTGGCTGAGGATCTAGAAGAAGGTGAAGAAACTCAAAATAAAGAAATGGAACTTAGTGATGAAGATTTGGATAGAAATGTGGAAGATAAGACTTTACTTAACTGCAAGGAGAACAAGGTAGGTATTAAAAACTTATTGATTGGGGCCTGGCAGCGTGGCCTAGTGGCTAAAGTCCTCACCTTGAATGCACCAGGATCCCATATGGGTGCCGGTTCTAATCCCGGCAGCTCCACTTCCCATCCAGCTCCCTGCTTGTGACCTGGGAAAACAGTTGAGCATGGCCCAAAGCTTTGGGATCCTGCACCCGCGTGGGATACCCGGAAGAAATTCCTGGCTTCTGGCTTCGGATCCGCATAGCATTGGCCATTGTGAATCATCAGATGGAAGATCTTCCTCTCTGTCTCTCCTCCTCTCTGTATATCTGACTTTCCAATTTGAAGTTCATTAGCAATTTTTATAAATAACTTTAAAAATGTTTTAATGGTATATATTTATTGGCATACAGAGTTAATAGTTCTTAAGGTTTCCTCTCCCATTTTTTCAATCATACGTTGACATTTTTTGTATCTCAAGTTTATGTTTTGAAAAATTTTAAGCCTATAAAAATGCTAGTATAATGAGTAGTTGGGTCCCCAATTGTTGTCATATTATAAATATGTAAGTAAAGATTCTTTTGCTTGTAGGTAAAAACCTATACAAAATTATACCTTAAAACTAACTATGATGGTATTTATTTTCTAAGAATGAGAAATTTTCCTCATAATTTCCATGACTGTTCTTTCACCTAAGAAGCCTAATATTGATGTAACAAAGCTATCTGTTAGGCCACCCATCCTGAGATTTCTCTGGTGGTATTAATATAGCTTGAATAACCATTTAATTTCTGTTTACAAAAAAACATTGATTTTAGCATCACGTTTGTGTAGTCATTTTTAATCTAGCGTTGATATCTTTTAGAAGTAGAGGCTATCCCTACTAATGAAATTCACAGTGTTGGGTTTAAGTGGAATAGTAGTTCCTGGTGGATAATACATGAGGCAAATTTACTTTTTTCTTAGTTCAGCTGAGCATTGAGATGTTTGAGTTTGTTTTTCATGTAGGTCTTCCTATGAGGTGGAGAGATTACAAAGTAATGAATCTGCAAATGCCAAAAATTTAGTGAGAATGCAATTTTTAAAAAGGATACGTAATTGTGGTTGATTAGATAAAAATTATTTTTGAAATAGTTGGACAGTATTTGGGTTATGTTTATCCTTTTATAAGAATTCTAATATTTAAATATTTTAGAAACTATTGAATTTAATAGAAGAACTGAAAAAAAACTGATAAATGAAAAAAAAGAGAAGTTAACATTGGAACTTAAAATTCGAGAAGAAGTTACACAGGAATTTACTCAATATTTGGCTGAACGTGAGGCTGACTTTAAGTAAGTTGTTTCTTTGATGATTTAGTAAAAACTGAGAATTTCATTGCCTTGTTTCCTTTTCTTGCTTTCTGAGTTCTCATTTCTTTTCAGTAGTTTGAAAATAGCTTTTACTAATCGTCTTACATGAAGTTTGTTTTAATCTGTACTAGCCCTTGGCAGTGTAGCATTCTGTTCTGTTTTTTAAATGGAACTAATTTGTGTAATGCAGAGAAGCAATCCTTCAGGAACGAGAGATGTCAGAAGAAAATGCTGAATGCCGTTTGGCGATCTTCAAGGAATTGGTTGGTGTATGTGACATTCAGGAAGAACCAAGCAATAGAGTTTGTGCTGTGAAAGTTGAAACTGAGGTATTGTATCTCAAATGCTAGATTTCCAGGGAGAGTTTGATAGCAGGATATAATATGTGGTGGCATTATTGATGAGAAACATTAGTTTAGAATTAACGCAAAATAACTCTTTTTTTTTTTATTATACTTATATCTGTTTTGTTAGGAATGTTAATGCAAATTGTTTTGATATTGCTTGAGTCATTATATGGACTGACAAAGAGGTTCAGTGTTTTTAATTATAAGAAACCTTCCCCAGCTTAGTCTTAAACTTCCAGTTTTTAAATTAGACTATCTAAAGATATAAGGAACTCTAAAAGGAGTAATTTACTTACTGTTTTGATTACCACAAAAATATTTGTTCTTACTGAATAATTACAGCTTCCTAGTTTTAAGGAAAATTTATCCTTTTCTGCTGTTTCCTCAGAAAACTGACTAGGTTTTCTTGGGTTTTCTAGGTTTTTTTGTTGTTGTTGTCACTTTTTAAATAGTTACGTTAATTTCAAAGTCAGAATTAGAGAGAAAGAAGGAACTATCTCCCATCTGCTGGTTCACTTCCCAAATGCCTCCAACAGCCAGAGGGTGTGCCAGGCTAAACCAGTCCCCTGGAACAGCATCTGGGTCTCCCAGATGGGTGGCAGGAGGTGGCCCAAGTGCTTTGGCCATCTTGCTTTGACTGCTTTGTGGAGTGCATTGGAGGGAGCTGCACTGGAAGCAGAGCAGCCAGGACTCAAGCAGGCCCCGATAGTGTGGAAATCCAGTGTTGGAAGCAGTGGCTTAACGTGGTGCACAGGGCCGCCTGCACCACTTGCTTGCTTTGTCGTCACTCAGTTCAGGGACCTGTGACAGTGATGTCTAGACTCTTGCTGTCATTTCACCATTCTGTGTCACTGCTATGATTTGGAATTGAACTGAGTTGTTTAAATGAAGATTAGTTTTCTTGGCTATTCTAACATAGTCTTTTAAGTATCGTTATTTATTTGAGATGATACCTAACTAACTTACCATAATTGTATAATTTTCACTGTTTCGGACATTTTCCCTGTGACATTTTAATGAGGAAAAATGATTCTGTTCCTTAAAAAATCAGTAGTAGAATGAAATTTTTTTTTTCCATTGGGGGCTTCTATATGATTTGCCTAAAAGGCTATCATAAGTTTTTGGCTGTTTCTAAAGCTCTGTGTATTATGTGGTAACACGTCAGGGTGAAACCCAGGGTTAACATTAGGCATGTGGTTTTTGCTGTTTTTAGGAAGCACATAATTATGTAGGATTTGAAGATATTATTGACTCTCTTCAAGATGATGTCACTGATATTAAGAAACAGGCTGAAATTGCTCACTTATGCATTGCATCTCTTGCTGATCCCCAGGAAGCCATTGCTTGTTTACAACTAAAGTTAAGTCAAGTTAAAACTGAATTAGATAAAACTAAAGAAGAATTAATCAAAACCAAAGAAGAGTTAAAAAAGAGAGATAATGGTAAGTAGATGTATTTTACTCCTTTGTAGATATTATAAACATATAAAATCTGATAAATATAAGAGAATTACACAACTTATTTATTACAGTGACCAGGAAATTCCTTAACCTAGGGTAGTAAGTTTTAGTATGTAATCATTTATATGAATTTATACAAATTTGCTACAAGAAATATATTTGACCATCACGTATTTCACTAGTTTTTGGGAAATAGTTAGTTTTAAAGGCAGAAAGCACTCCCATCTATTAGTTTACTCCCTAAATGCACACAACAGCCATAGGAAGGCTTGGTCTGTGGCTGCGTATTGGCATTCAATCCAAATTTCCATTAGGTGACAGGAACGTAATGGGCCTGTCTACAGCTCCCTCCCAGAATCTGCATGACTAGGAACCTTGAATCAGTCCCAGGTTCTCCCATGTGATAGAAAGGTTTCTGCCATCTTAACCTATAGGTCAAGGACTTTTCAAGAGAAAGTATTAGCTTTTTCCGTAAATGAAGAAATTATTCTTCCATATTCTTTATGCATTCTAGTGTAGGAGATTATGCTCTTGGCTTACAAGTTTGAAATAGACTAACTCCTATGGGGTGGCTGAAGCTAGATTGGAGGTTTGTTCTGTCTTTGAGGATATCTTACATTTGTAGGAGGGTACTTCAAAATTTTAACGGAAAAAGGAAAAGAGAAAGTCTGTATTGAAGTAAAAGTTTTTGAAATACAGATAGTTTTTTTCATAATACTCATTTTCCATTAGTGGTTTTGAAGTATCTTTCTGTATGATTAGTTGCAACATTTGGAGTTGGAGAAAATTGGATAAAATCATCTTCCCTTTTCTGTGTAATACTAGATGGGTAGAGAAACAGCCGGTAAGTGATGCTTCTGCCTTTGGAGTGGACCAGGAAAGCCCTGACTCTGTCTCTTCTCTGGTGTCATGCCAGTTCTCTACTACTTAACGTGTCACTCATTTTTATCCTGGGTTTTGAAAGTATCATTTTTCTGAAACATTATTCTCTTGTAAGACGAATGCTGTGCCTTTGTAATGCTGTCAAAATTCTTTTTCCTGAATGTAATGCTGATAAAAGTGTCCACTATAGAAACTTGTGTTTCATGAGTTTAGTCATCGTTTCTTAGATATGAACTTATTTTCAAAATTCTTTGTTTTTTCAGAATCAGATTTATTAGTCCAAGGGCTGAAGAAATCTAGTAAGGTAATACTTTAAGCTTTTTTATTTCTTTGTTTTGATGAGGAGTAGAAGAGTACAGTTTATTACTACAAATGTTTATTTTAAAACCAATTACAGAAAAAGTAATGAAGACGGTAATGACAAAATTGAGAAGTCTAAGTGCCTTCACCTTTATACTGCTTTTCAGTGATGGTCATTGGGAAGATTCTATAAGCCTTATGGGAAATTTGCGGACATATATAGAAGGATACATATGTCTTAAAAAGTTTGCATAAGTAGAGTGATTTTCTGCTTTGCTTTCTTCCTCTCTAAATTATGTCTTGCAAATTATTCTAAAGCAATACCTACAGATATGTATCCTTCCTTTACTGAATTCATTAAAACCAACAATAAAAAGGGAGTCCAGTGTTGTATTACCACCGGCTAAGTCTCCCTGCATTGCTGGTATCTTATGTAGGAGCCAGTTTACGTCAGTTTACGTAGGAGCAGTTCAGTTGGAGGGATCTCCAAAGAAACTTTGTCTGAAGTGATCCCAGATCTGATTCTTGTGTGTGCATGCCAGTACAGGGCCTGGCACAATCCATCGCCCCAATCAGCTTATGCACATGCTGGTGGTTGCAATTGCTGGGTCAGTTCTCTTTCCAGCCCTGTCTTCCACATGAACAAATGGGTGTTGCAGTCCAGCCCGATTCTGCTTACTTCATACTCAGCCCTCACGCAAGCCAGTGGGAGCTGCAGCCTGGTTGAGGCAACTCCCCATTAGCCCCACCAGTCCAGCCCTCTCCCCTGGTTCCTATGCTTGCCAGTATGTGCCACAGATGTGTTCAGTCTGTCCCACATCCCATTTAGCTCTAGTAAATGTCAATGGGCATTGAAGCGTAATGGAACCCAACCTGCCCTATCATCCAGCCCACACCTATACTGGCAGGTGCTGTTCTGTCTAGCCACCCCTGCCCCAATCCTGGTTTTCATGCTCTCCAGTGGGAGTGGTTACCCACGAGTGAGGTGCCCACTATCTTCCTACTAGTCCACTCCAACTTCTCAATTATGCACTCTCCAGATAGTTCTGTGGTTTAACTTGACAGAATTAGCACCCAGTGCCAGCCTCTGCCAGCTGATGCTGCAGCAAAGCCCAACCAACCCTTACCCACTCTAATTTTTGCTTGTACCAGTTCTAACACTCGGTCCAATCTGGCCCTTCCCCAGTCTAGCTCACATGAGGCCCACAGGTGTTACAGCTGGTCTGGTCTGCCCCCATCCCAATTCATGCTCTCCAATGGGAGTGGTTGTCCAAACATTACAAATTAAGAAATTTTCTTGGAAAAAATAGTCTGCTCTGCTATTTGCCTGACTGCCAATACTAAGAACTTAGCCTAGGATTATAGTTTTGCTTGTAGTCTGCACGTAAAAGTAGTTTGTTTCTTAAAAGAATGTTCTTTTAAGGATGTGAATTTGGGGCACAACACAGCAGCCTAGTGGCTAAAGTTCTTGCCTTGCACGTGCCAGGATCCCATATGGGCTAAGGTTCTAATCCCAGTGGCCCCCGCTTCCCATCTAGCTCCCTACTTGTGACCTGGGAAAGCAGGTGAGGACAGCCCAAAGCCTTGATATCCTGCACCCATGTGGGAGACCTGGAAGAGGCTCTGGGCTCCTGGCTTAGGATGGGTGCAGCTCTGGCCATTGTGGCCACTTGGGGAGTGAATCATTGGACGGAAGATCTTCTCTGTCTCTTTCCTCTCTGTATATCTGACTTTCCAACAAATAAATAAATCTTTAAAAAATACAAAAAAAGGGTATGAATTTAACTTTTGTATGTTTGTTTGTTTAATCTTTTAACACTCAATTAGATATTTGATCTAATTTACAAGATTAATTTTTTGTGGCAGGCCCTGCCTTTTCTTTCTTTTTTTTTTTCAAGTAAATTAATAAGGTATTGAGTGACCAATATGTTAGAAAATGCAAGTTCTTAACCACATCCTGTAACTACTTTCTTGACATCTCAATTTTAGTATATGCACAACTGGCTGCTATTCTAAAAGTTACATTGGGTATCTTAACAGGTTTATGTTCCTGATGCTTTAAATTCCTCTCGAGAGAGAGCTGGTGGAACTTCCAAGTCTTCTGAAGACATATCAGTAGATAATAATTCAGATAATAAAATGTTAAATGTAAAAAGAGCCACTGTTTCATGGGAAAATAATCTTGAAGATTTGGTAGAAGATGAAGAATTGGCTGAGGATCTAGAAGAAGGTGAAGAAACTCAAAATAAAGAAATGGAACTTAGTGATGAAGATTTGGATAGAAATGTGGAAGATAAGACTTTACTTAACTGCAAGGAGAACAAGGTAGGTATTAAAAACTTATTGATTGGGGCCTGGCAGCGTGGCCTAGTGGCTAAAGTCCTCACCTTGAATGCACCAGGATCCCATATGGGTGCCGGTTCTAATCCCGGCAGCTCCACTTCCCATCCAGCTCCCTGCTTGTGACCTGGGAAAACAGTTGAGCATGGCCCAAAGCTTTGGGATCCTGCACCCGCGTGGGATACCCGGAAGAAATTCCTGGCTTCTGGCTTCGGATCCGCATAGCATTGGCCATTGTGAATCATCAGATGGAAGATCTTCCTCTCTGTCTCTCCTCCTCTCTGTATATCTGACTTTCCAATTTGAAGTTCATTAGCAATTTTTATAAATAACTTTAAAAATGTTTTAATGGTATATATTTATTGGCATACAGAGTTAATAGTTCTTAAGGTTTCCTCTCCCATTTTTTCAATCATACGTTGACATTTTTTGTATCTCAAGTTTATGTTTTGAAAAATTTTAAGCCTATAAAAATGCTAGTATAATGAGTAGTTGGGTCCCCAATTGTTGTCATATTATAAATATGTAAGTAAAGATTCTTTTGCTTGTAGGTAAAAACCTATACAAAATTATACCTTAAAACTAACTATGATGGTATTTATTTTCTAAGAATGAGAAATTTTCCTCATAATTTCCATGACTGTTCTTTCACCTAAGAAGCCTAATATTGATGTAACAAAGCTATCTGTTAGGCCACCCATCCTGAGATTTCTCTGGTGGTATTAATATAGCTTGAATAACCATTTAATTTCTGTTTACAAAAAAACATTGATTTTAGCATCACGTTTGTGTAGTCATTTTTAATCTAGCGTTGATATCTTTTAGAAGTAGAGGCTATCCCTACTAATGAAATTCACAGTGTTGGGTTTAAGTGGAATAGTAGTTCCTGGTGGATAATACATGAGGCAAATTTACTTTTTTCTTAGTTCAGCTGAGCATTGAGATGTTTGAGTTTGTTTTTCATGTAGGTCTTCCTATGAGGTGGAGAGATTACAAAGTAATGAATCTGCAAATGCCAAAAATTTAGTGAGAATGCAATTTTTAAAAAGGATACGTAATTGTGGTTGATTAGATAAAAATTATTTTTGAAATAGTTGGACAGTATTTGGGTTATGTTTATCCTTTTATAAGAATTCTAATATTTAAATATTTTAGAAACTATTGAATTTAATAGAAGAACTGAAAAAAAACTGATAAATGAAAAAAAAGAGAAGTTAACATTGGAACTTAAAATTCGAGAAGAAGTTACACAGGAATTTACTCAATATTTGGCTGAACGTGAGGCTGACTTTAAGTAAGTTGTTTCTTTGATGATTTAGTAAAAACTGAGAATTTCATTGCCTTGTTTCCTTTTCTTGCTTTCTGAGTTCTCATTTCTTTTCAGTAGTTTGAAAATAGCTTTTACTAATCGTCTTACATGAAGTTTGTTTTAATCTGTACTAGCCCTTGGCAGTGTAGCATTCTGTTCTGTTTTTTAAATGGAACTAATTTGTGTAATGCAGAGAAGCAATCCTTCAGGAACGAGAGATGTCAGAAGAAAATGCTGAATGCCGTTTGGCGATCTTCAAGGAATTGGTTGGTGTATGTGACATTCAGGAAGAACCAAGCAATAGAGTTTGTGCTGTGAAAGTTGAAACTGAGGTATTGTATCTCAAATGCTAGATTTCCAGGGAGAGTTTGATAGCAGGATATAATATGTGGTGGCATTATTGATGAGAAACATTAGTTTAGAATTAACGCAAAATAACTCTTTTTTTTTTTATTATACTTATATCTGTTTTGTTAGGAATGTTAATGCAAATTGTTTTGATATTGCTTGAGTCATTATATGGACTGACAAAGAGGTTCAGTGTTTTTAATTATAAGAAACCTTCCCCAGCTTAGTCTTAAACTTCCAGTTTTTAAATTAGACTATCTAAAGATATAAGGAACTCTAAAAGGAGTAATTTACTTACTGTTTTGATTACCACAAAAATATTTGTTCTTACTGAATAATTACAGCTTCCTAGTTTTAAGGAAAATTTATCCTTTTCTGCTGTTTCCTCAGAAAACTGACTAGGTTTTCTTGGGTTTTCTAGGTTTTTTTGTTGTTGTTGTCACTTTTTAAATAGTTACGTTAATTTCAAAGTCAGAATTAGAGAGAAAGAAGGAACTATCTCCCATCTGCTGGTTCACTTCCCAAATGCCTCCAACAGCCAGAGGGTGTGCCAGGCTAAACCAGTCCCCTGGAACAGCATCTGGGTCTCCCAGATGGGTGGCAGGAGGTGGCCCAAGTGCTTTGGCCATCTTGCTTTGACTGCTTTGTGGAGTGCATTGGAGGGAGCTGCACTGGAAGCAGAGCAGCCAGGACTCAAGCAGGCCCCGATAGTGTGGAAATCCAGTGTTGGAAGCAGTGGCTTAACGTGGTGCACAGGGCCGCCTGCACCACTTGCTTGCTTTGTCGTCACTCAGTTCAGGGACCTGTGACAGTGATGTCTAGACTCTTGCTGTCATTTCACCATTCTGTGTCACTGCTATGATTTGGAATTGAACTGAGTTGTTTAAATGAAGATTAGTTTTCTTGGCTATTCTAACATAGTCTTTTAAGTATCGTTATTTATTTGAGATGATACCTAACTAACTTACCATAATTGTATAATTTTCACTGTTTCGGACATTTTCCCTGTGACATTTTAATGAGGAAAAATGATTCTGTTCCTTAAAAAATCAGTAGTAGAATGAAATTTTTTTTTTTCCATTGGGGGCTTCTATATGATTTGCCTAAAAGGCTATCATAAGTTTTTGGCTGTTTCTAAAGCTCTGTGTATTATGTGGTAACACGTCAGGGTGAAACCCAGGGTTAACATTAGGCATGTGGTTTTTGCTGTTTTTAGGAAGCACATAATTATGTAGGATTTGAAGATATTATTGACTCTCTTCAAGATGATGTCACTGATATTAAGAAACAGGCTGAAATTGCTCACTTATGCATTGCATCTCTTGCTGATCCCCAGGAAGCCATGGCTTGTTTACAACTAAAGTTAAGTCAAGTTAAAACTGAATTAGATAAAACTAAAGAAGAATTAATCAAAACCAAAGAAGAGTTAAAAAAGAGAGATAATGGTAAGTAGATGTATTTTACTCCTTTGTAGATATTATAAACATATAAAATCTGATAAATATAAGAGAATTACACAACTTATTTATTACAGTGACCAGGAAATTCCTTAACCTAGGGTAGTAAGTTTTAGTATGTAATCATTTATATGAATTTATACAAATTTGCTACAAGAAATATATTTGACCATCACGTATTTCACTAGTTTTTGGGAAATAGTTAGTTTTAAAGGCAGAAAGCACTCCCATCTATTAGTTTACTCCCTAAATGCACACAACAGCCATAGGAAGGCTTGGTCTGTGGCTGCGTATTGGCATTCAATCCAAATTTCCATTAGGTGACAGGAACGTAATGGGCCTGTCTACAGCTCCCTCCCAGAATCTGCATGACTAGGAACCTTGAATCAGTCCCAGGTTCTCCCATGTGATAGAAAGGTTTCTGCCATCTTAACCTATAGGTCAAGGACTTTTCAAGAGAAAGTATTAGCTTTTTCCGTAAATGAAGAAATTATTCTTCCATATTCTTTATGCATTCTAGTGTAGGAGATTATGCTCTTGGCTTACAAGTTTGAAATAGACTAACTCCTATGGGGTGGCTGAAGCTAGATTGGAGGTTTGTTCTGTCTTTGAGGATATCTTACATTTGTAGGAGGGTACTTCAAAATTTTAACGGAAAAAGGAAAAGAGAAAGTCTGTATTGAAGTAAAAGTTTTTGAAATACAGATAGTTTTTTTCATAATACTCATTTTCCATTAGTGGTTTTGAAGTATCTTTCTGTATGATTAGTTGCAACATTTGGAGTTGGAGAAAATTGGATAAAATCATCTTCCCTTTTCTGTGTAATACTAGATGGGTAGAGAAACAGCCGGTAAGTGATGCTTCTGCCTTTGGAGTGGACCAGGAAAGCCCTGACTCTGTCTCTTCTCTGGTGTCATGCCAGTTCTCTACTACTTAACGTGTCACTCATTTTTATCCTGGGTTTTGAAAGTATCATTTTTCTGAAACATTATTCTCTTGTAAGACGAATGCTGTGCCTTTGTAATGCTGTCAAAATTCTTTTTCCTGAATGTAATGCTGATAAAAGTGTCCACTATAGAAACTTGTGTTTCATGAGTTTAGTCATCGTTTCTTAGATATGAACTTATTTTCAAAATTCTTTGTTTTTTCAGAATCAGATTTATTAGTCCAAGGGCTGAAGAAATCTAGTAAGGTAATACTTTAAGCTTTTTTATTTCTTTGTTTTGATGAGGAGTAGAAGAGTACAGTTTATTACTACAAATGTTTATTTTAAAACCAATTACAGAAAAAGTAATGAAGACGGTGATAACAAAATTGAGAAGTCTAAGTGCCTTCACCTTTATACTGCTTTTCAGTGATGGTCATTGGGAAGATTCTATAAGCCTTATGGGAAATTTGTGGACATATATAGAAGGATACATATGTCTTAAAAAGTTTGCATAAGTAGAGTGATTTTCTGCTTTGCTTTCTTCCTCTCTAAATTATGTCTTGCAAATTATTCTAAAGCAATACCTACAGATATGTATCCTTCCTTTACTGAATTCATTAAAACCAACAATAAAAAGGGAGTCCAGTGTTGTATTACCACCGGCTAAGTCTCCCTGCATTGCTGGTATCTTATGTAGGAGCCAGTTTACGTCACAGCTGCTCTGCTTCCAGTTCAGCTTCCTTCTGATATTCTGGGAAGGCAACAAAAGATGGCCCAAGTGCTTGGGCGCCTGTGAGCCATATGGGACACCTCGATGGAATGCCTGCCATCTGGCTTCAGTTTGACCCAACCCATTTTATTGGCCATTTGGAGCATTAACCAATGGATGGGAGATCTCTCTCTGTCCAAGCAGCATCTTAGCCACTGTCCACATGTGTATTCC